TAAACCAAACCAAACTCGGCATGCGTCTTTATACTACCCCTGCCGTGCGAGGACATTACCATGTGTGCTGGATGCGGAATGTTCGCGTATTTGTTTTCTTGCGATAGCACAACACACAGCCCTACCAGTTGTTTCAAATATCTTTAATTATAACCCTACAGCTTTACACCTAACGTGAAATTAAGAGTCGGAGTAGCGTGCATACTCTAGGAAAAGGCTTGGTCTCATATACAAAGAATATATTAAGGTAAAAGAAGCCTAACATATGAATACAAGAGAAAATAAGCACAACATATTCTCAGTAATAGAAATACACCTGGTCCAGCAGGACATCAAGCAGGTAGTCATGCAAACATAAGAGCACATTTCTCGTCCTACAACTGAGCGTAAAAAACTGTTTACGTAAATAATTCATCTTTAGCTATCAACCGTTACAATCATAAAATTCAAACGTTTATCGGTTTTCGGGACAGTATCTGGATTTCTGATAATAAATGATCAACGCAATGAAGTATTCATGAGAGTTGTGTTGCCAATGCCAGTGTAAAAGGTGATGGCGGAAGGTTTAGTTTAACACTCAAAAGTGTACGAAGTAGCGGAAGCGTGACTAAGGTGTTGCTTTTCCGGCGGCATCAACATTACGTTTTTGCGTGTACGTGCTAGACCAACCAAACTTGTATCATAGATACATTTTAGGTAATATATCTCAACCCATACATTTCATGATGGATGCGGCCTAACTTTCATTGTCCATTGACTTTGTCAGCATCTCAATCAAAATTAAGTTTTTATTTTTAAGTTAGGTTTGTTTCTGACATTATAATTGCTAGACCAACAAAATTTGACATTGATGGTCAAAGCGGGGCACAAGCGAGAGATATCAATCCGAATGGCTTGTTGAATAAAGCGTCTGTGTGACTGTTGTGATGTCGTATACCGTAAACAGTGCTAGCTGTTAACAGTGTCTTACAATATCAGCAGTAGTGACACAATTAACATGAATACAGGGAAAATGAAATAAATCACTCAGTCATGGAACAGACAGCAAATAAAAATAAAATGGAACAAAGACAGATATCAATGAAGTAAAATTTTAGTTACAAGTCGGGGATATTTGAACAAAAATAGGGGGAAATAAAGCTAAAATTGGGGACAATAATGACAAAATTAGAGATGGCAATTGACCTATAGTTGGCCATAAAAAGGCCGGTATATATCCGTGTCTATTAATGGGACATTGAAGAAATTAAAAAAGAAGGAAACGAAAAAGATTCCAAGTGTTACAATGGGGGCAACGGATTATTTTTTGTACCTTTTATGTCCCTTTCGTAGAGTACATAGAAAAACCACGATTCTGCAGGGACCCATATACGTCCCTTTTTACAATCCACATGCAGTGGGATACATCAGGCTATTTTTTAGTAAAGTAACTTACAAGCATATTTCAACTTCTTAAAGGAACATCACTGTGAATCACATTTATTTTTTCAAATACTACATAAACATATCAAGTGTATTTAGTGTCTTTGAATTGTGTTAAAGAATCCATTGTACCATGAGGTAACTTTTGATCTAAACTTAATCCTGCTGTGTATAAAAAACAACCTTCAAAGTGAGTTCGTCATTTCACATATTTACTAGTACAGTACTTAATGTGAAAGAAATAGAATCGATCATTGTAATATGAGAAAGATCAGTTTAGTTCTTCCTTTAGCCATTTTGTCAGATCATCAGGTGATGGTGGGCTAAAAAATGCCATAAAGGTATCTCAACATAGAAAGTGTTCATTTAAACGTAGTGCTTTCCCAGAAATGTTTATTGTGTGTGATGACTAATATGACCTACTCAGGGAAAGAGAGTGCACATGAATATGTTTAATGCATGGTCTATAAAAAAGTGGCCTAAAAAATGATTTGTAATAAAAATTAATCACAAACATTTCTCTTTTTTATACTTGTCAATGGATATATACACATTATGAAAACAGTTGGAAAGGGATATTCGTCTCGTGAATATTCCTTTCTACAAAAAGGTTTGTCCTATGGTTGAGGGAAAGTGTTTAGCCCCGTATTCAACTGTATCATTCACATATCGGTAATAGTTATTTCCCGGTGGCTATAAATAATGCAGAGATACTAACAAATATTTCCTCTTTTAAATAATTTTGAATATTGGCATGAGTGCAGATGAATAATTACTGCTAAGGGGATTCAAAAAGTTTCAACACGGACACATATTCATATTCCTTGGTTTCATAGTGCGGTAAGTAGTTAAATCGCATGACGCCCCTCTCTGGGGGCCCCTTTGGAAACTTTGCATCTCGGTCAAACAACTTGAGTGTACTGCCTCGTTTTAAAACCACCACGTGACGTTATTAGCGTTATTTATAACAGGGCTTTCCCGAACAATTCCAGTGATCAAACTGGACATTTGGAACGGACTATGAATATCGGGATAGCAGGGTTGCATAGGTGGAAGTGCAAACAACATATACTTTCATTGGCAAAAATATAGCTTTCCACGTGATGTTCCTTTAATCATGTTAATTGCTGGGAGTTTCTCCTGAAAAGTAATTTGTCAATTAGGCCTGTCTATTAAATTAAACACATTTGTTGCTACGGCAACCACGTTAGTCGCTAATGCCAAATATTTCTGTTTCAGAAAATGTCAAATATTTCTGTTTAACTTAAAATGTATCCAAATCCCAGAGGAAAATCATTGTAATTTACCTATAAAATTCAAGAAGTAAAAAGGTTGATATGGAGAAATATCAGCAAACGAGTTACTATTGCGACTGCTACTGTACATGTATTTAACCTAATATATCTTCATACTGAATTACATTCACAGCATTCATATACACACTTTTCTGTTAATTGTAGAGGAAAAATATAGTAAATTATTACTTCTAACTACATTTTATTTCCTAGCGCCTAGTTTGGCAACACCTCACATTTGGCTTTAATGTTGAGCGTTCGCCCAAGTCCTTAAAATGGTAGTTGTTATTCCCTGCTTAACGTTCAGCATTTGGAATAAAATGGGATCAAAACCTAACCAAACACTTATTTTTTTATCTGTGAAAGTTTGTGAATATGAAATTATTGTCATTTCTGGTTTGTTTAGTTCAACATGCTTGTTACATCCATGGTCATTTGGGGACGTTTGTCAAACCGCCGCAAACAGTGAGTATATTCTATTTAATGCACGAGTTCTTTGACTAGTAGATTCTTTTAGATTTGGATTTGGCTCCGGCAATATCACACATTGGCTTTAATTTAAATCGATGCAATGGGTCCTGTACCAAGGCTGATACATCCTGGTTTACCCGTTGGCAGTATAATGTAATCGGGCGGAATGCTACACTTGGTGCCTTCCGCATGGTATTTCAGTTGTGAGAAAGTCGACATCAGATCAGCGCTATCTACTAGTCTACTAGCAGAAAGCGGTGAATTACCACTAAAGTTTAGAAGAGAGAAAAGAATTATCAGATATTGAGCTAGAACTCAAACATTAGGATCAGGCTTCTCGCCCAACCAAATAGTAAAAGACGCCAAGGACACGAAATATAGAAATAAACTAAATGGTCATAAAAAATAACCATTTAGTCACGTGACTAATGATTTAATAAAAGAACACAAATTAAAAAAGCATTTAAATAGACGAAATATCCCCTTACCCAACACCACCATGGTTACTTGGACAAACAGATATTAGCACAGATATTTTGAACGCGACAAATAAAAAAGAAAACCCAATAGCCGCTAGGGCATAGTTTTATTTACGACTATTGTACATACGTTTCCAGCGTAGCCGAAATCGACATTGATTATATGAACAACTTGTACCCATTTTACACCTTTTGTGTGCATACACTTCATTGGTCATTTGTCTGATGAAGATGACAGTGTGCATGTCGTACTAGTCATCGAAACATCACACAGAAAATGTTATTGTTTGTGTAAAAGGAACTTCTCATAATCCATACTTACTTTTTTTTTAGAAAATAGGCATAGCTTTATCTATTATCGATGATAAATACGAAAACCTACCTAAATACTATACGGACGGGTCTAAAAACCCTGACAACAATAGAGTAGGACTAGGGATTCATTCATCAGAAAATAATATAGCAATATCCGTAAGACTAACAGATAACTGTTCTATAAATACAAGCGAATAAATAGCCATGGGTCTAGCATTTGGAATTATTGACCAAGAAAAACCTGAACAAGGGGCGGTTATTCTCACAGACAGTCTATCCTCACTACAATCGATAGAAACCAAAAGCAGTGCAAGAACGACCATACCTTATTATATTTTAAATTCAGTTCAATACCTTAAAAACCAAGGAATTCCCGTAAAATTTGAATGTGTACCAGCCAATGTAGACATCCCAGGAAATGACAAAGCCGATAAATTAAGAAAAGAACAATTTTATTAATTATTCAAATAGCAAGAAACATTTCACTACCGGTTGATATAGGAAAGCTGAAACTATGTGTTCTGGCCACGTGCGGGTAGTTCCGTGTTTAAGAAGGGCGTGTCTTCTACTCCGCAGCAATCTTATATCTAATCGAGCATAATGTTATATATGTACATTATATGTTAAATCTGAAGTGGTACACCGTTCTTTGGCTGTATAAGCCTAAACGATGGATATAAATTAGGATGATAAGTAGGCATAGCTGTTATCGTAAACAAGATAGATAGATGGAATTGGCAAAAAACATTTATTTAGCGGTTGCGCCTACCCCATATCTAGTTAATATCAACTCAAACAACTCTTAAAAACAAATAAAACTAAAACATATTAAATCAGGTTATCTGCTATAGGAAACAAGATAGATGGATAAAATTGGCAAATAAAATATTTGGCGGTTGCGCCCCCCGGGGGAGGCCTGGTGGTATACCTGCTGCTTTATTTATGTTTGTTTGATCAGTTTTATTCTATATACTTGTACACTCNCCCCCCCCCCCCCCCCATTTCGATAAACGCCACATATTATAATAAAGGCCCATCTCCTCTCCCCTTCAAACAACACATCTCCATGGTTCCCTTCACTTCTTTCATACCCCCCTGCCCCACCCACATACTAAATCGTAACGATTGTACACTCTCTCTCCCCTCCTATCCTCACTAATAATCACGCTTTAACAAAAAACGTAAATGTCGGAAAGAGGAATAGGATCAGGTGAAAGACAAGAAAAGGTTTATAAGAAAGAGGACGTTGGTAAAGTTCAGTCAGCTTTATTTTAAATGACGAAAGACGAAGAGTGGATAACATGAACGGACAACAACAAAAAACAGCACCTGCATTACTCTAACCACTAACACGCAGTCCGTCGGATGGGACTATAAATGGTGGTATGAAAAAGATCCCTCAGAGTTTTTCGAAAACGAGTAAGCGCGTAAACGCCTGGACAGATGTTAGGGTAAGCTTTATTCCAAATGTTCGACCGTTAGAACTAGTTTTTTTTATTTAAGACATTTAGAAGGACTTTAAAATTTTATATACAAACCAAATGTATGAAATAGTTAGGAGCTGGTGTTAATGTTGGCGGCTTTCTACCTCACTACCGGTCCAGACTTGGTGCTGCTAACGACTAGTGTTGGGATAAGGCAACATTAGGCCTAGGAGCCATCTTAAAAAAACTAGTCATATACAGTTAAAACATATAGGACAGACGGCTCCCTCTCTCTTCTATCCATTCACTCCATACTGTCTCCCTTCTACTCATTTTCTATCAATCATAGAAAATGCATACACGACATACGTATATATATATATAGAGGCACGTCCTTATATGACCTTATATGACCTTAGCTGTTGATAGGACGTGAATCAAAATAAAACCAAACCCGATTGGCTCCGGAATCTAATTCAACCCCTGAACTAAAACTTAAGATTTTATTTTTTCTTTCAATATACAACTTAAACATTCTATGCCTACTATTGTTTGCATCAGTTATAACAGGAAGAGATTTCTACAAGATTATTGCTAAAATTAACCAAAACACACACTGTTCGCATCCAGTTGTTAAAATATTGCAACAGTAAACCAATTTCTGGCCAATTCAGATGCTCTCATATAACCGATAAGGCCCTCTGTACATGTCATGTATATTTTCTTCCACCGACATTGAATCTGGATATTCAGAGATTGGCTCAATCATGGTTATGTTCACTATAAAACATTTGTTATGCCTTTCACCACTGTAGACCATAATGGACTCATCCAGATCAATGTCTGGTAGAGTCTACTAAAGTTACATAGGGGTGATAGGGTTAATGTACGTTTCATCATAACGTTAATGTCCTCCCTTGGAAGCTGGTCCAGTCTGGTGGATTTTTAATTTCTTGCACATCTTCTTGAACTCTGTGTGAAACAAAACATTCATTTAGTTCCTGCGATTTTTTTAGACAATATTGTGAACGCTAGTCTTCCGCATAAACGAATTACTGTAATGAGACACGAGCAGTGGTCGTGATGTTTCATGTTTTCAACGATATTTTCTTTGGCATTACATACATATATTCATTTTTACATCACAATGTACAGGCAATCACGGATGCCACAACACCAAATAATCAATGTATTTCATTCCGTATCAAACTCAATGACCGAAAATGTAACTCCGTATTTTGCAATATATTTGACGGCGACAGGGCCAGTAGTCGTGACGTAATTATTGTTCGATAAATCGACAGTAATTAATATTTGTGTTATTATATGGTACATTCCTTCGCATAAACATATTCTAAGAAAATGTAAATACTAGCATGTTCATTTGAACAGATTTACCGCTTCACGACTTCCAGGCACACACTGAGGTGTCGTACAAAAAGGTTTTCTGGACGGCCAAGGAAGTCCCGAGAGCGTTCAGAAAAACACTTAACTCTGTCAAAAACGAATGCATGTGAATTGGTTTCTTTATTTTCAGTGACTGAGGTATTTATACATTATAAATGTAGATAAATTATAACGCAAACAATAGTTTTAGTGCAATATCTACATTGTATGTGTTGAAATAGTCGTTAAAAATGAAATACAGATATGAATATAAAGGTAACATAATGTACTTATTTTAACGGAACTAATATATAATTTAAATAGCTTGTTTATGAATTTCATGTAATCCTACATTCAATCTTTAAATGCTGTTAATGATAGGTCAATACAGACAAAACCATCACATTCGAATTGTCATGTATCAAGATGAAGATGATATTCATAGTAATGAACCGACAGGCGTGCACAGTTAAAAATAACATGGTAATAATACAGTATATGAAGTATATGCTAAAGCATAAATACCATATAAGGATTTGGTATTGTTACAATACGGGGAAAAAATTACCTTCAAAGTGGATGACGCCATTGTGGTCTTCGCCCCATCAGCGATCATACGTTTGACTTCCTGCATTGTACATTCGAAGCCAATGCTTTCCCATGTCCGCAAGATTTCTTCTGTCGTTATCGATCCATCCCGATCCTTATCGATGACGTCAAACATCTGTCTTATCTCTTTTTCCGGATCAACCTTGTAGGATTCCATCATCGTCAAAAATTCGCCTATTTCTATCGTACCATTCCCTGAAAAACAGTCATCTGCAATACACCGACACACCCTCTGTCTGCCGACACAAAAACAGCAAGTAAAATAGTGGGAAAAAACAAAGATGTATACAGCTGTCTAAAAAGGTTTTAAAAAGACATGTTCTTGTCTTATATGTATGCCCCTAGGCCTAGCAGCCATCAGATGTATTAAAATAATGGAACACTGCAGTTTTGGAAATTGGTTAGGTGTTATCTTGTTTAACTTCCTGTTACATGTAACAGCTAGGTCATTTAAGGACGTGTCTCCATGTGCCTAGTGTATGCATGCATGTGCTTATGTGTGCTGGATGCAGGGCACGTTGATGTTATTGCCTCCTTGTGATAGCGCGGATATGATGCCGACTTTATAGTGCTATCTCACTGAAATACCTTGTCGAATCATCCAGCACAGCATTCCGCCTGGTCACATTATCCTGACAACTGGTGAAAAGAAATCACACACAACCCTATTAAAAACCACATGGGTCATTTGTTAGCCACGCCCCTTTCCTGAAACACGAGCAGGCCTAGGATCATTATGTAAGGTGGAATTGAAAATAACGGTGGTTATATCTGATAAAACAATCAAACAGCTTGTTCTGAAGAACCAGAAGCCCTGGATTATTTAAGTTCACAGCAGTCAAAATTGTTAAAACAACTCATTAATATCTTTGAACCACCAATATACTTAGAGTCGTATTTATAGAAGCTTGCCTATATTGAAAATGAGTGGTACACAACACGCTGAAAACTTTTGTTTGTTTGTTTGTTTTATTTTGTTTAACGTCCTATTAACAGCTAAGATCATTTAAGGACGGCCTTCTCTGTGTGCAAGATGCATGCGTGTAGTGTATGTGTGTGTTGTAATGATCAGTAGAAGTCATCAATGCAAAGATCTTGGTTTTTTATTCAGGAACACTGGAGCGTACAACATGATGGTACAAGATGGCAGCGAGCTCTCTCTCAACATGTGCTTTTTATACTAATATTAGAACCAATAAGGTTACGTAATAATGTCGGACCAAATATCCGGAATTCACATATATCATTACATCCCTTCACCAAGAATAAATGCACATTTTTTCTGATTTAACTTATAGCACTGAATATTGATTATCTTTATATGGAATTCACTGAAATCTCTGTATCAATAAAAAGAATTAAAATATATAATGATGTTATTCAGTCTTTTTGATTTTCTTCACTTTCACGTTTGAAGATAAAATGAACCTTTACTTAAAGTCCATACACTAAATCATATGAAATATATTGAACACAAATTTAAACTTTCAGTTAAACAGTTCAACAGAAATTAAAACTTTTTAACACTGTTCAATGAGTCTTTGTGGCCTATTAACAGTTCTTCCTGATTTGGTTCTACCAGGCTGTATAACTGGTGCCGGTTTGACTTCATCTTCATGATCAGAAACATGGGTCTGATCTGGTTCACATCTTTCACTTTCCTGTACTTTGATTACATCATCATCAGTTTTAACATCTGGTATCAACTTGANGACATCGGATCCAGTGTCAATCTTCAGAGGTATCAAGTTTCCATGAACTTCTAGTGGTGCTAGCCACACATTTGATGTGACATATTCAACAGAGTCTATAAATAGCTCATGCTCATAATTCTCCACTGCATGTACTTGCTGAGTTGTCTTGTCTGTAGCTTTTTTCTGTTTAGACTTACAGGCTTTCGCAAAATGGTTTCTTTTCCCACATAATCGACACGTTTGACCTCTCGCTGGACATAAGTTTCCTCTATGTACCATCGCACAGTAAGAACACGTGGTTGATCTTGACTTCTGTCCATCTGTATGCTCGGTATTTACCTTTCGAGACGACCCCCGACCAGAATTTCTACCGGTTCCTCTAGATCTCGATTTACCTCTCGATCTGATGTAGTCAACGTCCTGTTCTTTATTTTCAGTTAGGGCTAATGTTTTCATGTGTTTCTCTGTCATGGATGCTGCTTTACACAAATCAATGCATTTTTGAAGACTCAGGTCACCTTCACGTAATAACCTCGCTCGAAGTCCATCATTCCGGATTCCTTCAACAATTTTGTCTCTTAAAATGCCATCTTTCAATTCACCAAATTCACAGTTCTTTTGCAAAATTCTCAAATCTGTTAGAAACTCGTCGAATGTTTCATCACTCTTCTGCGCTCTCGAGTTAAACACGTGGCGCTCGTAAGTTACGTTTTTCTTCGGTGAACAATTATTCGTAAATTTTTCTATGAGAGACGCTATTTTGTCCTGTTCATTTGCTTCAAATGTCATCGTATTAAAAATTTCAACAGCTGTCTCACCTGCCAGGGTTAGAAACATTGCACACTGTTTCTTTTCCGTCAGCTCATCTCCCGCAGTAGCGGTCATGTACAGTCTGTACTGTTGTAGCCATCTTCTCCAGTTCTCCGATACGTTGCCATCAAATGACAAGACTCTTCGGCGTTGGTAGTATGTTGTCCATGTTCTGACACCATGTAATGATCAGTAGAAGTCATCAATGCAAAGATCTTGGTTTTTTATTCAGGAGCACTGGAGCGTACAACATGATGGTACAAGACGGCAGCGAGCTCTCTCTCAACATGTGCTTTTTATACTAATATTAGAACCAATAAGGTTACGTAATAATGTCGGACCAAATATCCGGAATTCACATATATCATTACATGTGTATTTTGGGAGGCTGCGATATGTTCGTGTTTGTCTCCTTGTCTCCTCGGAACTGATGCCGCTGAACAACACTTGTGGACTTAGATTCTGAGAAACCAATAGTCTTAGAGCCAGATATAATATTGCTAGTGGCTTAGAGCGCTACAATATTTAGCAGAAAATGTCAGCTTGGCCTATGTTATAGTTTGCAAGGGTGCAATCTTTGTAAACAATCAAACAGCTTCTTTTGAAGAACCGGGAGTTCTGCAGATATGATTTGTGGTCAGGAACCGACTGATAAGGTGTGCTAGTAAGTTGAGGGGAAAGACCTTGATGTTAAAAAGTTATGATTTACTCAGTAAAATATTTGCCAGCTATCCAGTACTATAGAGTGGTAGTGCTCAGTAACCTATACAGTGATCAGGGAGATTGAAATTACTGAGTCGGGGTCACTGAGGCGTAATCAAATCATGCAATATAGGTAAGTGATACCTGTGTGCCCGGACCTGCACCTGGAAGGTTCACTGAAGTCAGAGTCTGTGTGCCAGGGGGGAATTCATAAGCTGTGTGCTTGTTAAGGTAATAGGATTGTGTCACCATTTCTCAGTAGAATTTCTTCAAACTTCGTAGTTTACAGTAAAAAACATATTTCTACCACAAATAAAATAAAGGATTTTAAATGGAAATTTATGTAAAAAGGAGTGAATTTTGAAAAAAAAAATGAAAGACACAATTCTTTGGAAAATAATGTCAATAACAATGATACTGACATAGATTAGTATTGCATTAATGTATATCAATTTAATAAATGCTGAGATTGTGTAAAACTAATTATCTATAAACGATTAAAAATTGACATTTTATGATAAAACCATATACACATAGTTATTGCATGTATGAGTTATCGTTCTTGAAAAACTTCACAGAAGTGAAATAGGTAGCCGGTTTCCTAAAGTACAGAAAAATGGAGACATGTGACTCTTTGATAAAAGACGAACTGAAACAATGCCTGGATTGCTTTGAAATACTTTAATATTGAGAGAACACACTGTTCTGTCAATAACAAACATAGAATATGCGGAAATTGTGTTACTGTCTCCCTACATTGGATTTTCAACTAGGGGTGTACTTCCTATTTCCGTTTATCAATACACTCCTATGACCTTAATGTAATTTTACTAGGGCTGTGTGCCCAAAGTTATTATCCAAGTCTAGAGACATGTAAAATGTGTGCCAGGTTTGGGCTTAACTATGCTACTTGGAGAAACTGTGCTATGCCCACCTCAATAGAGTGTGGGAGTCCTTGTGTGTAACAGGAGAGAGTGAGCTGTGTGCTTATACGTGGTAAAGAGAGACGCCAACAGTGACCTTGGGACAGGAAGTCATTAACAAAGGAATGAGCAAGTGATATACCCATATTGGGAGCAGCAGAGTCCATGTGTATGTTGTTAAACCGTAGGAGCAGTATTCGTGCAGGACTAGTGTAACGGATAACATCTAGATTGACGGGAGAATTTTGGGAGCAACACACAGTGATGAACTGTAGATATTTTGTGTCCGGAGGGACAGAGACAATGGATTTTTTTATGCAAATAATTCAATAATTGTAAAGAGTGAGCCTGAAAGGGTGTTTAGTATGTTGCAAATATATATTCTTATGATTTTGTATATATGTACGGGCGAATACATATGTTAATTTGATTTTATGTTGTTGTCTCCTCTGTTTGCAAATAGTTGATTTATATTCAAGGTCTCTTGACTCAAATATGTTTAAACAGGTTTTTCTGAAAAAACCTGAAAGTCCTAGAGTAATGATACTGTACTGACTTCTACTTAAGAACCTATGGCAATATATAGTATTAAGTTTGCTGGCATGGAGCGCTTACAAGTTTGATGTCAGAAGAACTATGAAGACATATAGAGTCTATTCAGCCGGAAGCTTGCTGAAATATAGTGCTAGGAAATAAATTAGCATAAAGGCCAGCGTCTTTGTGGTAGTTACAAAATAGATTATTATTATATTGAAAAGTCCGATTGTACCATCTATGTCGAACTTTTTCATGTCGTTTTCGATAACGTCTTTCTCCCAGTCAAGCCCGAGTTGTTTTACCACGTCGCAGAGCTCATCTAGTGTAATACTCCCGTCTTTATCAGCATCAAATAACTCAAACATTGACTGGTATTGGGTATCTGCAAAACAAATTGTATATTTCTTGTTTCATCCATATATGAAACGTATCTCTGTTTGGTTGCCTTCTGACCGATGGAAATAGGACACGGGTGAATGCTTTTAAGGAAAGGGAATTAACATCCTGACAACAGCCAGGGTCATATAAAGATGGTTGTGTAGGGGGACAGCGACAGGAAAGGAAGTAAGAAGGGAAATATAGATATACCAAGTGTTGCAATAAGGGCAGAAAAGCAAGTTTGGCCTCTTCAATCACTTCTTAGAAGATGACACCGAATTCTGCTGTTTCCCATACATAAGGATATTTTTTCTACGACATGCAGTCAGAAATATTCAGGTTCATTCCTTTCCCGAACTTGTAGGGTTGACTGGGACAGAAAACGACAAACTGTTGATAGAAATACCATACTTCTACCAATGTATTGATACTAGTCATAATTTCACAAGGAATTATTTTAAAAACAAAACCCCGACCTGCAAGGGTGTTTCAATATATTTTTTGTTCGAACACGGCATTTCAACACAATATACATACCTTTCTCCATACCAGATGTGAGTTCTCCTTCCTTTAAGAAACAAAGTGAGTTTTATAATGAGTTATATAAACGTTTGTCAGGATTAGCTGCTGATTACTTCCTTTCTTTTTCCCATTGTTATTAATGATACATGGTACATTTTAAATAGATAAGAAGGAAAGATAAGATCATTGTACTGCAAATGTTGGCAGCAGATCAATTTTTGTCACTTCCTACAAATACTAGACATAGAAAAAACCCAATTCTCAAGTGTGCCTCACATTAGGTTGCTTCTTGAAATAACATTTATTGTAACGCTAGCCTATTATTTCCCAAAATCATTTTATGTTTATCCCATTTATAGTCCAGCATATGAACAAAAGCACCGGTATGAATGAAAACAGTCCTGGATACCCAAAATAGAACCACATTAATAAAGATATTTCTAAAAATTTATTTATTACATTTTTTTATCAATATATGTATTAAATATCAGAAATCACCGTATAAGGATACAAATCGAATTCGAGAGTTTTAAACTATTCTCAGAGATGCCTTTCAAACTTTTATCGAAAACGTATATTATTTTTAATTATGTTTACCTTAGCTTTGAATCTGCTAGTAAGTGATTCCTGACTGCTAGGGGTGCCAAACGAGTCCAGCTGTACAAATATAATAGGTAAAATCATCTCACTGAGCTCTTTTCCGCAAATGTTTAAAAGGAATTTAGACACGGTTATTCAAATCCATTCTTATGCTTAGCGTTCAAATTCAATGTCAATTTCTTTGCGATGTTCACAACAATATTTTTGTTACCACGTATCGGAATCTGCTGGAAAGCTTCTCCGAACTGCCTGATGTGATGGATTTGTCCAACTGTAAAAAACAATGAACAAGGTTCAATCGCTTTAAACTTATCAATATATACGAACAATGGTATTGGTGTGTTTGTCTTCTTAGTATCCTGAACCGCTCAATGTTTCAGTTTTCAACCATTTACACTGAAATGTACCTAAAGTGCATTGGTGTTAATAAATACACGTTAAACCCCAGAATACCAATACCATTCTCGTGAGATTATTAGTGGGACTGTTGCCATCCGATATGAAATTTGAATATTGCCATTGCACAAGAAATGTATGAAAGTTTATTTAGCAGTTTTTGAATCTTCGTTTTGACTTTCGTTTGACTTTTCTTGCTATAAAAATGTCTTTAGCTAGATCAATGGCCTATACATCTGCTGTTAAAATGAAGCACTATCATTGAAATTTGATTGACCTTTTGAGAGAAAAAAAAATATCTGCACAGTTTCGAATTTCAAGTTTATTAGCATTCTGCTGGCTACAAAGGGGCACATATTTAACGATACAATTCAAATTCGAGTGCTTTAAACTTTTGTCCAGGATGCATTTCCAAAGTTTAACGAAGACGGTATATTATTATAGAAATATTCAATTTCAAGTTAAGGTCAAAGGAGCGTATTGATTAACGGAAATAGGAAGTACATCCGTAGCTTTATGTTTTTATTAATGCGTCACATGTGTCCATTTGTTCTGTTCATCAGGAAACCGGCTACCTATTTCAGTACTGTGAAGTTTTTCAAGAAAGATAACTCTTACATTCAATTACTATGTGTATATTGTTTTATCATAAAATGTTTATTTTTAATCGTTTATATATAACTAAATTTTACACAATTTCAGCATTTATTAAATTGATATCAATTAATGCTATATCAATCTATGTCAGTATCATTTTTATTGACATGGTTTGCAAAAAAATTGTGTCTTTCATTTTTTTTTCAAAATTCACCCCTTTTTTACATAAATTTCCATTTGAAATTCTTAAATTCTGACAACCTATATTGTTTTTGTGCCAGAACCTTTTTATTTACTTCACAGCAATATAACTGCAAAACTTGAAGAAATCCTACTGAGAAATGGTAATACAATTGATTTTTATCAATCTGTAATTATTTTAGGAGGCCTAAAAAAACGTTTTGTATCGTTACCTTGAATCTGCTGGCAACTGATTCCCATCTGCTTTGGGGTCATATACGTCTAGCTGTATAATGATAACAATGAAATGCAGACTTTTAAACTTCTCGTTTTGATGTTTTCTTAAAAAAATCGTCAACTGTTATTTATAATTCTTTCAATCCTGTTTATGAAAATGCTGACTCGAATTTTGAGAGTTAAATTGTGTGTGCACTTTTTCTCTAGATAGATGAAGAAATAATTCTCAAATTTCACACCATGATTCCAAACGGTATATAGTGCCCTCTATTCCGGGGCACACAAAAAAACCTAAATACATCTGCTTAACGTTCAGAATAAAGAGTAATTGCAATAACTGGTTCACCCGTTGTCAGTATAATGTGACCGAGCGGAATGCTGTCCTGGGTGCCTTCAGTAAGTTAGCACTATAACGTCGGCATCACATGCATACCAACATACCCCGTTTCCGGCACACTTGTTGATACACATGCACGCTTACACAACAAACATGGAGGCAAGTTCTTCATGTACCTTAGCTGTTAATAGGACGTAAAACAAATAAAACCAAACTCATCCCAATGATCCTTTGTTGTGCTTATTGATTTTGGGGACTGATCGAAAAACCAAGATGGCAGATAGATGGCCATCTTGAATTTTGAGAGTTAAAGTTCATTGGTGCTTTAGGGTAATAGAAATAACTGGTTCACCCGTTGTCAGTGCGATGTGACCGGGCGTCACATTTATTTTAAATAAAAAGAAACCAAACCATTTAAACAACTGATTGGTTCTTTAATTCGATTATGCAACTGAACCAAAATATAAACATCCTTGGCCTTTCGGATATTCTTAGGACGTGGTTTAAGCCTTTTTACACTTTTCATATATTTGACCTTGAAAGTAGAGATATGTTTGTCAACATTTTTTCATCCCACTAAGCCACCAGCCAAATGCCATCACATCAGAACTTTGGCATATTCAGAAAAAATCAGTTAGAGATTTCTAACACATTTGATCGTTGTGGCTTTAAAAATGGGTAATAAACAAGTTGTTAACTTTTATCGCAGTTACTTTATCTGGAGTTATAAAATCATCATAATGTTTTGTTATTGTCAAAGCCCCGATGACCTAGAAGCATGACTTTATCCAAGACTAAATCAAGTGTTGCGAAGTATTTTATAGTTGTAATTATAACATGTGTACCGATTAAGAATAAACCTACATGCCACATAGAGGACAGTCGACTAGACTGGCTTTTGCTGACGTCAGCCTGATAAGAGAAATCATATAGTTATAATAATCGCTGCATAAAGATCATAGTCTTTTTTTCTGTTCTACACTCAAGGTTATCCTGTTGAAGTTTTTAGAAATGTTTATGCCAAGATCAATCTTTAATTCATATCAAATTTATTATTGTAAAATATATGTTTGTACCTGAAACAGTATGGTGGTACATTTACTTCCTTGGGATAGCATATATGCAGGTCAGGTATGAGGACAATATGCCTCCCGTTACCAATTTTTTTGGTTTGTTTAAAAGGCCACCAATGTGGAAAACCCTTGCCGAATTGGGTATTTGCCTATATAAATAGTTCTGTATTTCCGACTATTTAAAGGACATTTAACGCAATAAACTAAATTTAACCGATGTTCTCATCAAATGAAGCAATTACAAATAATCTGGCTTGAGATAAAATTTAAACAAAAAATAATATTTCAATGAAATATCACTATAAAGTCGGCATCAGATATGCACTATCACACGGAGGCCAAAACAGCAACATTCCCTGCCTGGGGCACCTATGCACATGAATCACTGGTGGACATCGAGTTAACAATATTTAGGTACATTAATTTATAAACAGTTACTTATGATCATATATGATCCCCTTGGTAGTTTAGCTGTTCCAAGACTTATTTAAGTAATGCTTAGGTTAGAGTCACACTTTTTCTGTATCTACAATACAGTTATTAAAAAGTACACAAAACACCAGAGGCGAGTCAGAAACTAGTAATGTCATTGACTGCTCGCGAACCAATAGCTGTATAAACGAGGGCTCGAATATCCGTGGATGATTTTTCCAATGCTTGTTCAATCTGTCTTTGAAACAGCTAACACTAGGAGCCGAGGTCACATGTTCGGGTAGCGAATTCCATGGCTGAATAACATACATGGAGATACGTCCTTAAATGACTTTTGTTGTTAATATCATGCTAAACAAAAACAAAAGCACCACACATGATAAAATCCCCTCGCATTCACACATTGTGTGCCATATGTATGACGAAATAAACGGAAAATCTAATGACGTATCAGTATCTGCTCTAGCGACTGCATGTTTTGATGGATAATATATTTTTGCACGAGTATGTTGAAGGGATTGTTATACAAATACTTATATCAGGTTTCATGAAATTCCGTTGACGAATGGATTCGATAGAGCGAAGACAATATCTAAATATAATAACAGTGACATTGACCTTCAACGTAGAAACCCGAAACGACAAGTGTCATGAATTTCCGTTGAGAAATTATGTCGCTAGAGCGATTACAAAGAGTAATACATGCGTACAGGCTTTCGGTACGAGGAAATGATAAACCAACTCATTAACACAGACTCTGTAATAAACAGAACAAGACACAATCATCCGATACCTCCACAAGTCAGGAAAGTAGAAAATAATTAACACCTGGTAGCGATATCGACATTTATGCTTGAAAATGCAGTACGAATAAATACAGGCCAACATGAGGGTCACAATGTTTTGCTCCAGCGTGAATTCGCGGGAGATTACTGTGACTAATCAAAGTTACAGTAGTAATCTTATTTAGCAATGTTCAACACGGAATGTATACACCGGTGACAACTTCCATGCATATTCGGCAGAGAGACGTCAATAACGTGAAGGAATGTCTTAAACGATCTGCTGAACCTTGAACCGATTACATATTTCTTTTACCTACTGTAACTCTGTACGTGTTCAATGTTATCATTTATCATACATTTGTATATTTAAATACATACCAATGGAATGTTGACGCTATCATCTGGAGTCAGTATCGTCGGCAAAGCATTCTGGGTCGATAGAAAAAAACATTTAGTACACATACCGGTAACATAGTATAGCCCCATTCTAACTATCCTTTTTGTTGTCTAGCGCCTTGTTTGGCGATACGTTCGCCTAGGTAAAGAAGGCAATGGGTTCAGTCCCCTTGACCGGGACATACCAAAGTCCTTAAAATGGTAGATTTTATACCCTGTTTTAACGCCCCGTATTCAGGGTAATGACAACAACAGGTTCACCCGTTTCCAGTATAATGTGACCGGTTGGAATGCTAAGCTGGGTGCCTTTGGCATGGTATTTCAGTGAGATAGTTCTAAAACGTCGGCATCAGAACCGCGCTATTACAAGGAGGCAAATATACCAATATGCCCACCCTCTGACACACATTCACACATGTACGCACATACAACACACTTTGAGACACGTCCTTAAATAACCTTAGCTGTTAATTGGACGTTAAACCCCGTACAACCAACTATGCAGCAGTAGTGCCGTCTGTCGTCGAGTATTGTACCTATCAGAAGTCCCCCTAACTACCACTGTAATCCATCAATCGGGAGCAAACGTTACAATACCGAGCCTATAGTATAATTTACAGTAAATCAGAGAGCCATGTCTGATAATATAGGATCTGACGAAACAAAAAAAAACTCCTCGCTTGAGTGTATAATACTGCGAGGAACACATTTTGTCATGAAAACAACCATAATATATAATATATCAGCTTTAAGCGAGTATAAATGAATACACATACTGGCTTATTTACGAAATCAAAATTAGTTTTAGAACGACGAAATAAGGAATTGTAAACAATCAATATTCAGACAAATAACGGAAGTTATAAAGATAATACACATATCTAATGATACTTAGGGAAACATGGAAACCACGTCCATTTAAGGGACCAGCTCTTCCTTTTTAATGTCGATGTATTCATACACTGCCTCATGCACACACACACACACACACACACACACTCATACACAAAACAAATTCACTATTATACACGAAACCTCCAGTTTGCTAAGATAAAAGAAATCTCAAGAAATTTAATACCATTCAAAGACATCTTTTTTTAAATATTCTAAATCGAACCTGAAAAATACGTTTGTGTTATATTGTTTACATAACGAAGTGTTATTACGTATTATAATACCCTCTTGTTACGTGTCGCACGACAGACAGGCCGAGGCTTGCAGTTTTTTCTGGTTACTACGGCTGCATCATTCACTGCGTTCATCACTCTGCCAACATATCTCATCTTCGCTGGGGCATTCTTTTTCACGACATTTTTAACTTCGTCGAGTATCAATCTGTACCAATCCCTATACTTTCCAATAAGTTTGATGTGGCCTGGTTTTCGATCTGACGTATGTATGCAGTCGTGTGGTCCTCGGAGATGACATAATTCAATCGAAAGAACCACAATGTCACTGTTCTCCCGCAGTAGAATACCGTAGTCAGACGCCTTAGATTTGGCACCGTATATTGTTTCCAAGATCAGAACTACGGTTTGTAATTTCGGAAAGCAACGCAAAAACTGTGGTAAAAATTGAATGGCCTGATCAGATGTAGAAAATGATTCACAAATATATCCTCCCGCGATGGAGAGGAGATTTGTGATTTGTCTGGAGGTATCTAACTCGTCACTGGTGTCTCCGCGTACCATGTATATACATGTGTCGTCCTCGGGCGTCACCAAATGTTGGGCGGGATGGTCCTGTAGATAGTGAATGATAATTTTCAAACATTGAACTTTCTGATAATTTACTATTTCCCTAATAGAAAATAACATGTGTATTTCGGAACTTACGTTATATATTCAGTGTAAATATGATTACAAGTTAAAGCAGCTATTTAAGTGATCTAGCAATTGAGCCTTCAAGCTGTGAGATAAAGGTTTTATATTAATCTTAACTACGAACATTTTATAGTTGAAGTTATATTTCGAGTTTGCATGAATACATTTTATTTTTATATAAACATTTTAAGCGCACCGGCCCTTAAACCTAAGGGCCAAATGAACGTATGCCTAGGCACGGCGTCCGGCCGTCTGGCGTCAAATTTTTACTGCAAACATTTTCCCCTGGGCAAAGGTTGGTGATATTTCAGATACAATTACATGCAAGTAGCTCAGTAGACCTTCCTTATATTGTGTCAACACACGAAGACAAAATTGGAACCTAGAAAATGCCAACCACAAAGAATAAGGACAATAAACCACCAGAAAAAAACGAAGTTATATTTACCACTACTCATACCTAGGAAGTCATAAGTATAAGAAAAATCGCAGAAATATTGTTCAACACTTACATAACGAATTTTAGGACTCTTCTGTATGTTCATCGAATCAACCTTTATATCGTCTAGATGGTCTCCAATACTTTCACTCTTACCAAACCTGACCATTTACGTTGTGTAGCCGATCCGTGTCTGCAGGGTTTCCATCCACGTGTCTTTGGTAAGATCGAGATCATCTTCGAATTCTAAATACGATGGTATCACCGAATCGTCAAACTTAGCCAACAGTAACTTTCGTGCATTTACTTTTCCCTTGTCACACAAAACATTGGCTATTAGTTTAAGTAAGCCGGAGTCTGTCCGATAGATCTCTGGGAATAGCACAATGCTCACGTTCGCTTCCGATAGAGGTCTGTATCCGGGAAGGTCTCCTCTTAGAAGTTGATATGATTCGACCAGGTGTCCGTCAAACATGAAGCTATTTGAAATCAGTCGAATATATTTCATTGAGCGTTCACTGTCATCGTAGATAAATACATGTACCCTTCTTAAATAAGAATCATCTGAATCAGTTGTCACAGTCAGAATTCCTATCGTCTGCTCCCGAGGGTCGTTTTGCATGTCGTCAGCGTTATAAAGATCGTAGCTCGTGATTAGGTATCATTCACGTCTGTGCCTTGAAAACGAGAAACAATTTTTAGACATGAAGATATGCCTAAAACGCAATACAAAAATGTATCTAACTAAGCGTTCTTAAAACATTTCGCAACTCTTAAATAAGACGTCATAACATTGGCCGGGATTCAAATGATGTGTGACCCAACATTTGCTGTTCATATGAAGGACACAAACCAAAAATAAGTCACTTGAAACTGATGTTATTCACGCAATGTGTGTGGCAAGTCTGTTTTGAAACGCACTGATATACTAATTGTATGTACTATGAATAGCAGGGTATGAACAATGTGTCCTCTTTTAAAATGTCAATGTCATAATGTACTAGCCATTCATGCATTCATTGTTAAAAACAGCAGGACACACAATCAATCCCTTATTAGCTCTACGGCTTTCCTAATATTTTTGAAACATGGTGTGTTTCTTTAGTTGTATGTGTTTATAGTAAAACAATAACATTGAAAATGTAACCCTAAGAATTTAAACTAACAATGCTTTGAAAGCTGATCAGGCATTTATGACTTCGTCAATAAGCAGACTTAATGTGCTAGTGTTTTGTTCTGTCGACCATCGATTGTAATTTGACATAGTCATTATTAAATTTTAAAAAGCTAACACTATATCTGTTTAAGAATATAAGTAGTTTAAATCATGTTTCATGATGACGCACCCCTGTAGGTCGGGGATCGAGAAAATAATACACCTGATGTTACCCACTGCATGTACGTAAAGCTAGCCCATATTACCTGTGCAGATTCGTGGGGTATGTTGACTGTCTGTATGTGTCTGCATGTTATAACAACAGGTGACGACACATGCTGGGCCCCTCAGGGGTTTAAGGGATTTGTGTTAGTGTCTTCTGATTCGGGGACAATTAAAACGAAATGAATATGTTATCCCCAATTGCAAAGCTTTTCTTTTCTTAGTTAGTTTCCTTATCTCTTTTGTTGGTTCTTTCTATAGGAACCTATCGTCATTAAACTCGACCAAACAAAATCTGTACAGGTGTACATTGCAACACGTATTATTATTTCCTTGTATGTTATACGAGTGTTGATAGGACGTTAACACTACTAAACCAAACCAAACCAAACCACTGTGTATGATGCGTTAAACTTTCCTTCCCTTAAGGTACAGTATTTTACCAATATAAGGGATTAAACTACCCATTCTGTACGGAAAACTAATGTAAGAATACTCGAGTCATAACGTATGTTTTTCCGTGTTAATTAACTCGAAATTCCGACTTAAAAACTCTAAATGTGAAGATCATAACTTGAAATTTCGACTTAATAACTCGAAACGTCATGACAATAACTCGAACTTCCCACTTACTAACTCGAAATTTCAATATTTTAACTCGAAATTCCGACTTGATAATTCGGATATATTAACTCGAAATTGTATGATGATTACTTGAAATTTCAAGACTATAACTGGAAATTTCGTCTTAATGAGTCGAAAGTTCAAGATAATAACTAAAACAATTAATAATAAGGTTTTTTATACAGTGATGCGACCTGGCAGTGAAGCACAGAGGGGGAAGTGGGAAGCGATTCCCCGGAAGCAGTAGAAATACAAATAAATGATTATTTTCTTTACTTTCCTCCTTTATTATGAGCATGCAATGTCAATACAGAAATAATGGTTTCTCCTCAAGTGTAAAGCCCCTTTAAAAAGGTCCAATTATTTAACACCGTTTGATGTACTGTGGTATCTATTTAAACCCGATTCTCTCCATTCCTGATCTTTGTGTAATATATTTGGTCATAAGTTATTTAACATCCTTGATAAAACTCCAGACTCTGTAAACCTGCTTTGTTTCCCGGTGTAATACTTTGTATACAGTATTTAATATACTCCTTGTGAACCTGCATCACCTTCTGTTCTAGTTTTGTTCATTTTTGACTTTCACTAACACTAACAAAAAATACAGAAAGAAAAAGGTGATATTGATATTAGTAAGATATTTTAATTCCATGTACATGTATACAGGGGTGAACAGGTTCATATATTTAGAAACAAAAATGGTGAATTACCTTTAAAGGTTATTGTAACACATATCTCTACAAACATACTTTCTTACTTGTTCAAAACACCAATTTCAAATTCAAATTGTGATACATTAAGAAGCTAACTTAACCGATCACTACTGTGTCTTCTATTTTGTTACTTCTTCAGCCAGTACTTTTAACTTAACAAACTGATTATTAATGGAAGATATCTGTACACTTGTAAATGGTAAGTCAGTCAAAACCACGATGTACAGTTGCGTGTTTAAAGATGATTATTAGACAAGTAACAGGCAACCATCAACAGTACTGTTAGCTTTCTTTCCTTCTGAACAGAAAAATTCTTCGGCCGTGAAATCAAATTTGACCAGTGTTAACTCGCCCTTCACATTTGTTAACTTTTTAGGTCACCTGCGACAAAGTCTCAAGTGACCTATTGCGATCGTCTTTTGTCCGTCGTCGTCCGTCGTCCGTCGTGCGTCCGTAAACAATTTACATTTTCGACTTCTTCTCCAAAACCCCTGAACCAATTTCAATGAAATTTTGCAGGGACCTTCCATGGACAAAGGTCAACAAAA